AATCGTAATAACCGATGTACAAGTCAGTGTTTTTATCCTCCCAGACAAGTCTGGTACCAATTAACCGACCCCGGAGGGATGGAAGGCTTGGTTGGCCCGGGCGACTCACGACCCAGGATTTGATCCCCGGACCGCTCGCGTGGTAAGCGTGCCACTTGCCACTACACCACTTCCGCCCCATAAAGAAAAATGGAAAGGAACTGTCGACACACTGCCGCACTGATCACTGCATAAACTCGTGATATCTTGTCGAATTTTAGAAATTCAGGCTCACGGCGATCGGAAGGAACTTAAAAATATGTGTTCTTCACTTCTAGAGTCCTTCTGAGGAGAAGAAGGAAGTAAAATGCATAGCACAAAAGGTCAAGGTGTCTTTTGCAGCTACATAACTCAAATTAGCGGCGCACGGCTGGGGACCGGGAGCGAATTATTCATGAACACGGCTCGTAACTTCTCGCTCTTCAGAACATTGCTAGTCCGCCAGTATGCCAATGTTGGGCTTGTTGCTCTAATGTGTAGATTAAAAAACATAATGCGAGGGCCAGAATTATGATGGCACTATGATCTCAACCGTTTTACCGTAATAAGATTTCTCTCGGGCATTCTACTACTTTGTGTTCTGCGCCGTATAGGTCATCTGTATATGTAATCGGACTTCCTGAAAACGAGAATTCTGCCACTATCCATATCCTTTGTGGATTGACATCTTAGAGACACTTTATTGTAATTCCGTAGAAAGATGCTGGCCTGCATCTTCAGTTTACTACACAGCGCTGCAGGTGCTTCACGCTTTGAGCTAGCTTTATTATTCCTACTACATAATTCCAATGCCAAAATACTAGGCCTCGTTGTTATTGCGATATTGGCAATTTGTAGATAAACCCCGTGTAACACAGCGCCTTGAAACTCTTGTGCTTAAAAACCAACAATGTCCACTACGACCTCTTTTAGTACAAAGATTTGGATTCTTCCTCAATGCAGCGTCAAAATAGCAAGTCAGTAATCGTGGATTTAACTTCAGAAATTTTAATAGAGCAGGCCAGTAATGATAGAAGCAATAGTTTTTAAAACATCAATTAGCTATCTGCAGGATTTGAATATGACTGGTTTTGTTTCTCAGCAGTAATGATGAAATTCTTGATGAAAATGATTCAGGTCCTACTTAAAGGCAGAATTTACGATGAAAAGTTAGCTCATTGGAAATAAGGGTAGAGGTGGTCAGTGGAGCAGGGATGAAGAAGAAACCATTTGAAACGGCCCAAACCCGAGAAATGGGACCCCTTCCTTGCCCGTTGATTTGCGCATTGATGCGACTCTCATCGCTGTGCCCTCTTCAACACTACGCTCTCTCTGCTATCTAATCACTCGCCACGTATAGACCTGCGGCGAGTGATTAGATAGTCGGTGGGCGTACCCCGCCAACCGCGCCAAGAGTGAGCCATGCTAGATCGCCGAGGTCAAATCTTTCGCTGCCAATTGCGCGTCGGTCAGCACCCTCAGGAGGTCCGCCTGTCTCCCAACTATGCAATTTTCCCTTCTTTGACCTTCGTTCTTATCGTGAATTCCTCCTTTAAAGAACAGCTAGGATGTAGATTTCAAAAATCGTTTCATAGTATTTTTCTTTGCAGGTTTGGTTCTAATAACTTCTGCTCCTTTTGTTAGCCCTCTGACACTGCTTGCGATGTAAGTCGGAGTTTTCAATTCAGTCCGTGAAAGTTGAGCAAGTGCAGATAGCCACCGCTCCGTCTCACCACAGCTTGAACGACGTGATTGAGTTTATTAAGTTCAATTCCAGGCTGGGATTAGGCGTCAAGAAGCAATCCCTCTTAAAGTGAAAAGAGCGATGGTTTAGAGGCCAGGAGGAGGGACAGGACGCCGCGACTCAAAAAGTGTCCGGGACATACACTTAGCCGTTTTGCCTTGTGTGCTGCAGCGCTACCTTGCCTATCATTCGCAGCATGCGTGAGCGTCTGCGTCCTCCAACGTACGACGTGCTCTCTCGCCTTTTCCCTCTCATTGCAGTGCAGCATTATGTCTTTACACATACCATGGCCGACTAGCAAAAAAATTTCAATGTCTGTTTTTATTGCGCAGCTTGCTTTTTCTCCCTAATAAGTTTCCTCAGACGGCTTCTTGCCTATTTAACCAATGTGGTAACATACAATCGTCTCACCGTACCTTTAAGTTTCAGATATTTCGGAATGGTGAAACTTACCGAAGTAGATTTGGTGAGATGCGTCCTTCTCGGTGATGAGGACTCCAGCAAAGAAATGATGATGAAAAAATATGCCGCTTATTCAGGAGTGCCTTATAATTCTGAGGTTAAGCTGGTTACTTGATTTCGTTGGGGTGGTGGCTAGATGAGTTCTGATTTACGAAGGGCGATAGGGGTCAAGCCCAAGCGAATATCGTGTGATTCTGCATATCAGCACGAAGCGATTCGAGCCCGTTCTTAAATCCTTTACCCACTGTTAGAGTTGTAGTAAGCTTTTTGCTGATACTGTGTTCCTCTGTTTTGAATTAGCTCCTAATCTCATTCATGGTATTTGGTTATAAAATAATTGGCTTTTTCTCTTGTTTTCACGTAATTGCTGGGACCGCCGAGAAAGCCCAGAAATTGGTCACAGAAGATCAATTTGTATCCTTTTCGAGAACAGAGAAGCAGAAAAAATCCACAGGAGTCCTTAGGGTTCAATATTACCTTTCGGCTGCGGTATTTTGTGCTTGTTTTACCCGCTGCCAATTGGATTTGAAAATGCTTCTCTGATTTGGATTATTTTGGCTACTCATCAGCTACTAGTACGGGAGCAAGCATGTTCATCTGCCCCTCAAAAGCTATCATCATTGTAAACCTCTTCGAGGTATTGTGGAATCAGTAGGAGCACTATTGCCTTCCATAGTCGTCAATATTTACATCAAACTTTGATCGTTGATGTTTCCCTCTCTTCTAATCTTAAAAAAGCTCTTAGCCTCACTTATAGTAATTTGTAGTCGTTCTGGGGCTTTCTATTTTGTTTTCCGCATCTTTCTTCGAATTTAAACACAACCTAGAAGAGGGGAGTGCGACGGCCAATGGGATTTGAACGTGTGCCACTGTTCTTATTTCGGAGAGGGAACGAATATGATATTTTCGATTTTGTCAATTTTGCCGCACGAATCTTCGATTTTGTCAATTTTACCGCACCAATCACTACTGTATGCATCAGGTGTAGAATTTCCCGAGACACGCGATCGTCGAAAGGTCATCCATTAGGAGGATTACTCCTCAATGAGTGATCTTTCAGCGGTCGCGTTACCTCAGGAATCACTTCTTGGCACTGCGCAAAAGTGTCAGAAGCTTTGGGAGTGCCCATACCCTGGCTTCCATAATGAGATCTAGTTCAGGTTTTTCTACTTAACAACTGATTCCCGCAACTCAGCACTACTATCGCAGCGGGTCTCATGACTAAGAAAGAACTTTCAGAGCCGTGAACTCATCACCGCGTTCAAAGGGCCGAAAATGCGTGTTCGTCGATTCATCCTTTGTCGAGCAGACGAGCGAGAAGCCACATGTGTACTTGCTATGTGTTTCGGTGGCTAGTCAAGCAAGCGTCGAGGAAACGCTCAACATGGTTTGCCTTTTGAATACATTATCATATTTGATTTTTTAGTTTTACAATTAAAGGGGAAGATTGGTGTGGAAAAATGCGCTAACAATAACTTATTGATAGCTCTCTGGGCCGTTTAAGTAGCGTCACGACGAGGCGCCCCTTTTCCACTTTTCGGTCGCGTGGGACGGACGCGATTTTGTGGGGCGCCGCCTCACCACATAACCGCAGATTTTGTTTTGTAAATGAACAAAAACATGAATGTCACAAAATAATTTCTGCAATGTCCAATGCGTAAAGATTATCTAAACATATAACAGTAGGATTTCGATCAGAACGACAAATAGTGGAAAGAGAGAGCATTTACATTTCCTGTTGGAAGAATTTCAAACATTTGCACGCTGCGGGACACGAGGTTTGCCTAGCCAATCGTGTCCAGTCGAGCGCGCTTGGGAAGCAATTATCAGTTGGCAGCCATGATAGGCTGGTCATCGTCAGGAGCCGGCATGCTGTTGGCAGCCGTATTGCGGCGGCCTCCGCGGTGAAGGTGGTTGCGGTTCGTCGATTGCTTATTCTGTAGCGTGACACATGTTAGTAGCTGGTTCCATGTTGTGATTAGCTTCCACAGCGTTATGTTAGCTCGCCAGTAAGACACGGCTTTAAAAAACTACATCCGCCATAGGCACACCACGCAGAGGTTGTTGTGACGGCTACGCATGTCAGTTGTTTACTACGAGACCCTAGAAGACAAGTTCGCAGAATGGTGGGGCGTTCCGTGGCACGGAACAACGACGAAGTTATGGCGGCCTTGCAAAGTAAGCTGCTGAAGCTGCAGAGTTTTTTTTTTTCTTATCAGGCTGTTGTCTGGCGCTCTCTCATCTGTAGCGCTCTCTCGCCTCATACTCTCCTCTCCGCGCTTAGTCTCTCATTCCCTTAGCACAGCCGATAGGAAGGTGAGTGAGCCCTCAACCTAAGCGTTTTTGACGGATTCTTTCTTTCCTTTCTTCACTGTCGGCCCATTTCGCACTAATACATTCGCATTCGTGGTAGCAAAGCCTCATCAATGTGATACTGAGGCACGGCATTAAGTTTTGCACACCACTTCAGTAAGTGGGCCACTCGCAGAAGCTGGGACTTAGGCAAGGGAGAGGTTTTTGCGAGAGCATGTCAGTAATCTTCGTTCTCCCTGGCGTTTCTCCCCTCCCTTGAGCTTAGTCCTAAGCGGTTTTTGAATGCTCTGTTGTGAATGTTCCGGAATGTTCTTCCCCGGAGGAGCATGAGCGTCCTGTATGACTGCATACTTTCGAATAAAGTGAAATAAAAAATGAATTAATACATAGCCGATAGGAAATAATAATAAAGAAGTTCGTGCACTGGCAACAATCCGTACGGCAAAACAACAAATTAGCATATTCTAACAGCTTCAGGTTCACGAAGACCGACAGAGGATCTATAATACTATCTCATTAATCCACAATTTTGTGGTCGCAGGTAGCCCAGAAGCGTCTTGTACCTTGGACTTGCGGTGGGTGCCGGCAGAGGGCAGGCAAGTTTCTAGGTGATATATTCATAGTACTAGAATGGGCAGTGATAGATGGCCAATGTGCATCTTTGCCTCAAAACTCAAAACAATTATATATGACCGGCCTCTATTTGCAAAAATTCAGCAAGATCACGTTCTCTCGCCAGGGACTGAAGCTTGACTTTTTCGAATGCCACACCTCGTGTGCCACTAGTAGTCCCCGGCTCGTCCACATGCTGTTACTGGTTGATGCTCAGATTGATTTCTTCGGAACCGCTGCACTATGACAATCCTGAACGTACGCATAGGACAGCCTCAAATTGAGACAAAAAGATAGATGAAATCACTTATGGGAGTGATTCAGTGCCTTGACCACGAAATATGGCATTCGCTTCTGAAGCTAGCGCCATTTAGGAAAATTTTGATGATTTGGCTCCAAATTGGGTCAGAGTGGTTTTGAAGGCCAACATCGACAGGTTCGCGAGTATGGTTGATAATCATGCAGCTGGAGATAACCTTATAAGGAAAAATTTCGAAAACTAACTGAGAAAAGAAGAAGGAAGAAAACTTTTTGACTCTGTCTGGTTCGTGGTGGTGCAGACGCGCCGTTTCATGTTGTGAAACAGAGCGTGTGGGAAAAGCGGAACGACTATTCAGGACGATTTGTAACATAAACAAGGAAATTTCAGTCTACGTCTTCCAGATCCTCGACACAGTTATCGAACGTATTCGCGGTGTACCCTTCGTCCTTGTTGGGACTCAAATCGAAAAGAGGCTTTCAATGTTAATCGAGAACTACGGTTGTGGAGAGGTCAAATACATGCCAATGACTCGTATAACTCAGAGCCGAGACGTTCGCAAAAGCGGAATTGGGGCCAGCAATATTGTTGAGATGTTCGGAGCGTCCCGGGGTAGAGGTTGGAGCTGTTTTTCATTATGAGTAGTCGTAGACAATGATAAACCGGTAGGTTAGGCTCGTTTGAATGGGTTTGGCGGTTGCGCAAATCACAAGGGTGCCATCAACGGCCGTAGGTGTGCTCAGGTGGAGGGGATCGGTCAAGTCAGGTGGAAGGAGTTCGTATTGCCATTTGCGATGAGAGGGATAGTTGTTTATCGGCCTAATGGGTTCGTGACTACGAAAGTAACAGAGAAATACTTGGCGAGAAGATAGGAGAATGATTAATGAAAGTATCTTGGAAAAAAAAAATCCGTGAATTATCTCATGCTTTTTGCATTTCAACAGTTCAGCAGTGCAGTACATGCTCTGCTCGAATTTTTTACGCAGTTTGTTGAAAGGAATTTTGCGAAGTGGTCCTCAGTCTTTGAGCAGGGCGGAAAGCGTCAACAATTAGGAGTGTGGAGAGAGGTCAGGCATCTCTGAAATCGGTCATGTGTACCCGGTTCACCCTGCCACCATCTCACTGCTATTGACACGATTGCCAAAATGTCATCTGGTTGCTACGCGGGATTTTTGCTTTCCGAACTCGAGAGAAAAAAGAATTTGGCCTTCTCACTTTAGAAAGCGCCAGCTCAGTAGAATGCTCGCTTCAGTGGCACCTTCTTGAAGTAGCAGTATCATGAGTAGTGGATCATGGCGGTTCGAAGATGGTTGCATAAGATACGAGGCTCACTCTTTTAGAAAGGCGCCCCTGCTTATAGAACGACCGATAGCAGAAACAAGGCGGGCGCGGCGGGGCGGCGCGCCGGATGTTCTGGACTGAACGTGGCTTAAAGGCAGATTCCATTATAAAAGTGAGTATTAAGAGCGCTTCGTAGTAGAGACAATGAGGCGGGTTAGATGGAACTGGAAGGAGAGATGGGAAAGTCAGAAATTAGGAATTCCTTCAAGGAATGGTCGATCTTGTCAGCTGCGAGACCGGATGATCAAAGACAAAAGACGAGAGAGAGCACGCCGTTCGAGAGACCGCGCTCACTTTTACTTTAGTCGGGGTGGGTGGTAAGCGCTGTACGGGGTCAATGGTTGCAGGCTCGTAAGGATGACAGACCCTGACGCGCATTTATGGCGATGAAGTGGCATTGATCTATGTGAGATTACAGACCCCACATTTATTCACTGGTATCCCCCTACTGGTCGGGCTATCCGAGGGTTAGCCTTCAGACGACAGTTCACAGCGAGCTCGGTCGCACGATGGGGAATGCACTTCGTATGAGTGGGATGAAAACAATTAACAACGAAGAGCTTGTGTCTTTTAATGCATGGGGCATTTTTGAGAATGATGTGTAATGCTAGACTCTAATTCCGCCTTTTGTTGAGAGGCTCAAGAATCTGTGATGCGTAGTAATGACAAACGACTTGGATTACCCTCTCTGCAGCTTCTGTACAGACGAGAGGTACATTTCCCCCTTCCACGCGAAGGCTGGCTACCACCTGGTCGGGACTAGAAATAGCACCTTCTTGGATAAGCCGGTCATGTTTGTGTTGAGTTTTAATCTGTTATGATGTTCCCACGCAGAAATCATGCTTGCGTTTTCAGGAAGGCTTGGACGAAGTGTTCGAAGGTGCATTCGAAGTTGGTCACAAATATGCTCTGGAGCAGCTGAGAGGAGCGCGCCGGAAACTCATGCAAGTCCAAGAGACGGAACCAGAAAAACCCGGCTGTATCGCTCAGTAGCGGGTTCTGTTCTCACTGATATATGATGTGTATATGTCTTTGTTTCTTTGCATAAAACCATTTAAATAAAATCATCTCGATCATATTTACTTGTAGGAGATTCAGCTTGAGTGTTTTTAGGAGGACGCTAATGTTTTTTGAGAGCGGGATAATCTTTTTTTGAGAAAGCAGTCGTCTCTGAGGGTCCCCTCTCAAAGGACCATGCTTTTCCTATCACTGCTTGATTCATTATCATTCACTGTTTTTTCTTCTCTCCAGGTAAGGAAATAATCTTAGTTGAAGATGAGGTTGAGATCTTGGTCCACGTTAATACCAGCGTGATGTGATCTCTTCCTTTGAAGCGAGATGAAAAAGAATCCCCAAAGTTCAAAGTGGTTGTGCGAAATGGGCTGAAATCGAAGAGGAAAGGAAAAGAAATCGCCGAGATTCTAGCGTTCTACCTTGAGATGGGCGGGTGTACTCGGACGAGTTTTCTCCGAGTGCTGAGTCAGCAACAGCATTGACTCCATGCTATCAATCCACAAGGCCGCCAACTCTCAAAATCGAGCTCCTTTGTGCTGGATTCCTGCACGACTTTTCCAGGTGCTCATTTCTTCCTGTACCATGGAACACTGTGCGACTATCCAGGTAATTAGACGCGCGACAACCGCTGCTCTAATCGCTGGTCCATGCAACACTTGCACTGGGGTCAACTGATTGGTTTATTGGGTCGAACCCGAACGCTTTTGGGCGCAAAGGTGGCAGCACTTTCGCAGTTGCAAACCCATCCATACTACTCATGGAATAATTATTCAAGGCAAGACTCATTATCAGATTGATGTGACAATAACACTCGAATGTGAAAGTTGATATGCCAAATGGACCGTAAGCGAAGGAAAAGGAAAAGAACTCGCTAAAAACACATAAAACACGAACCTTTTAGTTGAAAGCAGACATTGAATGGAGTCATATAAAGGGCAGAGAAAATTGAAAAGCCCTGGGATTAGCCTGAGTAGTAGGAAGAGTACGTGAGGACACTTGTAGTGCCCTCCCCTACAGGGAGCGTGCCACGCCCGTCGCACAAAATGCGCGGTTAGGGCGCTAATCTTTAAGGAACTGCAACCATCGGCCCTTATTGCAACGCTTCCCACCCACCGCATCGTTGGAAGATCAAAGCGCTCTCTCGTGCGGCATGCTTTCTCGCGTGTTCTGCCTTCGCTGATCGCATTGTCTCGCCGCTGTACTGCATCCGACCTTACCGGAGGGCGTGCCTTAAAGCCACGAGTCAGGATTAGGTAACCATAGAAGGCCTTTCCATCACTAATATTTCCAGGAATGCGCTCAGAGGGGTGATGCCACACTCCTGACTCGAGATTGCGCGCCGTCAAGGCTTCTGGCCTACTACTTACAGCGATGGGTTCGTTACATCAGCTGGTCCCGCCCACCGCGGGATGTGGTGCGTGGCTGGCCTAACGTGTGAGATCAGCTAGGTTGATTGCCGTATCAACCGATGGAACGGCTGGCATATCCGGAAAACTCGTTTGGACGTGGCTCTCCCCCGAGCAAGCCTCCTTTCACTGCTAGAAGAGATGGGGTTTCGATTTCGGTCTTGTCGACGGTTTCTTTGTGTTTTTTCTTCACTGTCGTTCCACCTCCCATCTCTACACTCAATTCAGGCGCCATATGCCCACACGAGCCTAACTTTGCCTTTAATGTAGCGTTTCGGTGGCTGTTGGTTGCTTATCCCTTTCCACTTTTGATTCCACATCGCCGCTATGGCGTCTTTATACGCCAATCTTTCTAGCGATTTGCCTTTTGAGAGCATAGCGGTCAACATTAACGAACGTTGAGAATATAGTACAGACTTGCTAAGGGTCAAGCGTGCGTTGAGGAATCCTCGACACGTCGCAGGGGGGGGGGGTCGTATTGGCCCGCTGGGTGGAAGAGATCGAGCCATTTTGATGCAGTGGGATCATCACCGTCGGAAGACAAATATCAAGGATGAGTCGATGCCAGGCCAGAGGATTTCCAATGAAAATGATATTTCACCCACACAAAATTTTCGTGATTCTGAGGCGTCCGGTAATTCTTAGTTACTTCAGTGTTTTATCACCACACAAGTTAAAGAATCTGAATTTCGCACGCTTTCCAAGAGATATTTCATCTTTCAAGTAAGACCCCGAATCTGAAGGGATGTGAGGTACACGGCGCATCCGAGAAAGGGTCTAGTTGTTGCGCGCGCTTCAACTACGGCTCCTTGGACAAACAACCTCAATTCAGGAACAATCGAGAGAATTCTGAAAGTGTCCGTGCGCATTTACAGGGAGGTGTACACCATTCAACACTGCGTTAACGGACTCTTCAGGGTTAAATTTATAAACATGTAACCTTTAAAGTTGAGAAACGCTAATCAATCACTTTTCTTAGAAAGAGAAAAGCAGTGATTTCAAATCTGCTCTTACTTTAGTACATAATCGCCCTTAAAAGGATATACAGCCGTTGAAATAGTGCCAATGTAGCGAAAAAGTACCTTTCGGCGGTACTCGTGCAAAATCCTCAACGTAGCCGTTTTTTTAATACTGGACGTTTGGAGCAGTTCTAGTAAGCATTTGATAGAGCAAATCTTCTAGTTTATGATGGCGTATTTACTTTTCGGATTGGATGAGTTTGAACGGAGTTATGGCTTTGGAAAGCGTAAAAACTCGCACTCATCACGAATTTTCCTCGTTAATTTTGCAAAAATCCTCAACGTGGCCATTTTTTGAGTACTGGACGTATAAAGCTGCTTTAGCGACCGTTTGATAGAGAAAATCTTCTAGTTTTGTATGACGTATCAACTTTTTGAATTTGACGGAAATGAAGCAAGTTATTGCTCCGGAAAAGTGTAAAAACTCGTGCTCGTCTCGAATTTTCCTCGTTATTTGATCTAAATTTGTTATTTCTTATAACTTCCTGTAATTTCAGTACTGATTAGAAAAAGCTCTTCACAAAACTCCCAAATCAGCTTTCAGATTGAAAATTCGTTCATATTTGAAGAAAGTTATAATCATTTGAATATTTGTTCAAATTTCAATAGTAAATAAGCTGCTCCACGGTCAACGCCAAAGTCCAGTCAACACACAGCTGGCGAAGGCGGTTAAAAAGCTTCTTTCAACTGAAGGGCTACGTGCAAATTGAGAACCACAATCTGTGTAGTACTAGAATTTGGTAAGTCTTGTGGAGGAAATAAATAAAGAACAGATGTTGTCATGGTATGCCATTTTTAGTGGCTAGTTTGTCGTTTTCTGGTCTGTTTCTCGTTTGCTCGTTTGGTAGGACTCATCAATAATGATTATTCTTTGACTTTTTCACTTTTGTACTTCTTAAACGAATTTTTTTGTGGGCGGTGGGGTAGCAGGGCTTTTTTATGAGCAGTTTTGGGGGAGAATTAAACAAGCTTTTCAACCTTTTCATAGTTCGGCTTTTGAAGAGGGTTGTTTCATGGACTTCGGCCTCCGGCGGAGGGTGGTGGGGGGGGGGTCGTATTTCCAAATTTTCCTCAACGCCTCGCTTGACCCTGTTGCACCCAAAAGCTCGAAACTTTCACAATGTCGCGACACTTGCTATCACCAAATCGGTGTAAACTTCCGAATAGGTGGTTATTTTGTATCCTGATTACGAATATGGCGTTCATTCGTGGCGTTGGCGCCAGTTAGCGTCTGTCACTGATTTGTTCAGGACTAAGCCTTTGGGGATAGGAGGGCCCGAAGGTGAGTAAGCCACTTGCCCTGTAGTGTGATACGCTTCAAAGCTCGCCAACGTTGTATGCTCACTCCCCCGAAGCCTCCCTATGCTTCGTCTCCCTAAGCTTTGTCTCAGGCAGTACGCATAGGTGTTAGAGCACAGGAGAACGGGAAATATGCGATAGACAGCGCAAATGTTGAAAACAAATGTAATATTCGTAATCAGGACAACAAGTAGCCCCTATACAGAAATTGATAACGAATTCGATAGAAGGACTGTCGCGAAAAGGTGACGTCAATTGGCCACCACTTAAAGTGAATGTCATTTTCGTAATCACGGCAATAAACTACCCCTAGGAGCAAAGTTTAGGCGGAAAATAAATTTTGAGATTTTGGGTTGTGATAGTTGAATAGTGTAGTGGTTGAGTAGGGCGGCAGTGGTGTAGTGGACAAGTGGCATGCTTACCACGCGCGCGGTCCGAGGATCGAATCCTGGGTCGTGAGTCGTCCAGGCCAACCAAGCCTTCCATCCCTCCGGGGTCTGTTGGTTGGAGTAACGGCAAAGGCCTTCTCCTTTTATCTTATTAGTTGAACATTGCCAGGGTATGGAACGGTGGGCATGCACAGATGAATCAGGTGTCGGCGGGCCAAACTCGAAGGCACCAGCACCTTACAGTTGGTGAGAATTTCGAAGGCTAATTTGTAGCGACCCTTGCAGTACTACTCTACTACCACCTCCACCAAGGAAAAGAACCTTTCCAGTGAGGCTGGGCCAGAGCTTTGCCTTAACAGACACATCGTGGGCTTTGCCATTGCGCTTATCGAACAGCAAGTCACACAAACTGCTGTTAGTACTTGTAGAGCGGAGAACAGCAAGGACGCAGAAAGTGCGAAGGCTAGTGGTATGAGGCGAACAGAATGTGAAGGGTGTGCGTCATATGGCGCGATCCAGTTAGCATTGGAGCGCAGAGTCCGTAATTGCCACATCATGCCTTGACAGGACAACTCGTCCGCGTCACTCAATTATTGAGCTTCACTAATCGATCAATGCCATGGATGCTGAATCCTTAACGGTTCCCCAGATTCATCTTTTTTGATTATTTCCCTGCTTCTTTTTGTACGATTTCGTTCGACACTCTTCTTAGATTAGTGCTGTGATTCAAACTTACTCTTATGTAATAGTTCACAATGATTTATTATGAAGTTTCTCACGTTCCAGCAAGGTATTGCGCTGTTATCCGAATCTTTATTCCTGCTATCGAATGACCGTTTTGCAGCTTTCTTTCCTATATTCATTGA